CCCCAAAACCCCAAAACCCCAAAACCCCATTTCCATGAACAAAATTGAATCTAAAACATCTCAAATCCTTTGGGGAAGTATATTTCTTGATCTGTCCTTTCAAACTCACCACTCTACAGCATCAGATCATCCACCACAATACCTCCACTCCCTTCTTCCTCCTCTCCCTATCCTTCCTACCAATCATCTCCTTCAGCACCCTATCCAGCTCCTCCCTTCTCTCCACTGAACTCATCTTCAAATACCTAATCCCCTCCCTATTAAGCTTCCCCTTCCTTAGCACTGTCTCTACATCCTTTCCTTCTGACCTATAGCTATTAACCTAAAAATATCTTACCAGGAAAGGCCAGTGGGACTGGCCTTTCCAGCTAGTGCAGGGAGGTTTTGGTGTTGACTGGGTTTTGAGTGGAGGGAAGTTTTGTTGTAGAGGGAAATGGCTTTGGTCTGGCGGGAGCGTTGGAGGGCACGGAAGGTTTGGAGTTTGGTGAGGGTGGATATCTGGTTTTCTGAGGGTTTGGAGTGGGTGGGTTGGGTAGGGAGGTAGGTTTTGGGGGGTTTGAATGGGGATTTTGGGATTTTTGGCTGGTGGGATTTAAGTTTGGACAGGAAGGAAGTGGTCTGGGAGGTGTCTTGGCCTAGTTTTTTGAGTTCAATGTTCCTTCTGGGGAGTTAGAAATAAAAGCGTACTTTTGGTTTTCTTTTATCTGAGTAAGATAGTGTAAATCAAGAGCTTTTCTTTCCTTGCTTCTATTTTTCTGAGAATTCTATGATATGTTATTAAAGGTACTACCTTTGTCTTGTCTCTCCCGTTCAATCAAATATTGTGGATTTTCCTTCATGGTCTCCTTCTTATCCATTTCCTGTTGCAATTTTTGATTTCTCTGGTAGAGACTCTTATTCTCTTCCATGATTTCTTTCTGCTGGTTCATTTTATGAACCTTCTGAATTGCTTCAGTCTTGAGATCATCTTTGTAAATTTTTATTTTTCCTAGCATTTCTTCATATTCTTTTTCTAGAAGATTATAATAAGAATACTGATGTTTTGCTGATCTTGAGCTTCTCTAGCTAGCTTTTCCTTTTTCTGCCGCTCAAGGGCTCCTCTCATTTCTTCAGTTTTACGGTATCGTACTATTTTGTTTTTCTTTTCATCTGCCCAAATGTTCACTTTGGTTCGAGGAAAATCTACGCTTTGGGTCTTGAATTGTATCGGATTGTTCTGGCTGTGGTATAAATTCCGACCTTTCGATATCTTTGCGACTGGAAGAGCGAATTTATCTCTCTTTTGACATAAGCATATATTCTGGGCCGTTGGTGTAGCTGGTGCCACATGAAGCGAGCCTTGCACGCTTCTTTGTTTATACAGAGCTTTTCGCTTTGACCTGCTAGATTTCAGAACCTTGAGATTTTCCACACTTAATTTATTGATCTTCTTGCTCATCGCTCTTTGGCTTTCAGGTAAATTAGAGTATTGTTGAAGATTAATATGAGAATTCAGATTTTCTATTGGCACACTTGCCTATAAAACCTAGTATTAACTTCTGAGAGGAACTCTAACAGAAATTACCTTTCTTGTGCTAAAACTCTTATTAACCTTGTACGGATTACTGTTATCCTTAGTAGTATCTGGAAGCAGTCTTTTCGAGTCAATAGTCCTGGTGTTTTTCCCGCCTAGCCCATTCTTATAGCCTTGAGTATTATTTCTCTTAGATTTAGCAGCTTTATCATTCGTAATTCAGATCTTATATTTACTGATCAAAGCATCATATTTGTCAAAAATATTAGTATGAATATTTCCCCCATTTTCTCTAAAGATTAACTGCAGAATAAACCTGTTCGAATCACATGGTTGCTTAGCCAGTTTATTTTTGAGCCATTTTTCAATTTTTTCAGAGGTCTTAAGTTTTTCCATTTTATTTCAATAAATTAAATTCAGAGAGGGGTTTTGGGGTTTTGGGGTTTTGGGG